TCAATAGTATTTGTATATTGTAAAGCAAAACGGACGCAATCACTTCCAAACATTGTTGCACTAACAATGTTGGGAGTTGCTGCGTGCGTGTTGGCAGTCAGGTGAGCAAACAAATGCAACAATCCCCAACAATATTGAGACCTGCAGTGCATTATGGTAGGGATACGCCCCATAATACTTTGGAGAACATGCGTAATCTGCGTGCGTGGCCCAATAATGTTGGAAGAGCTGTGCAAACAGATCCAACTTTGTTGGGCTACGCTTCGGTTATCACAAAACAAAAACACCCAAAAACATGCAACAGGGTGTGCAAACGGGCGCAAGATGTAACTTCCAACATTGTTGCGTCCGTTTGCATGGGGCTTAAAATATATATTTATTTAATGTGTACTTATTCAGCGTGTGGATAATTATGTAGCGTGGCGTGCCTCGACTAGCCTCGCTAACTGCAGGCCAGTCCTAAATATTTCTTGTAATTTCTTTACGAACTCAAATGAAAACGTTGTAAGTTGTAAAATTTTCAAATGCTTCTTCTTCCCAAGAGCATTTTAAAACACTAACTTTGCAAAATTTTGGGGGCAACCTTGGTGTGTTTTGGGGGGTTCCAAATACTGAATGATGCTGAAGGTAAATCGAAATGGGCTGTCATATTGCATGTCTACTAATGTCATCATAATGCCTACTCTGCGAACTTCCCTTCATCAATTTAAGGGGGCAGGGCAGTACTAATCCTTGTTTTGCAAATGGGGTTGAATTGGGAATAAAAGAAAGAAGGATAACATAAGGTGTACAGATAAACCAGTTATTTTTCTTAATTTTGTGGTGGTGGACTACAGTGGAACCTCGATATAACGAAGTGCCAAGGGACTGGCAAATTTTGTTCGCTACAACGAGGTTTCATTATATCGAGGTACTTTGCCATATGGGTAAACACGATCGTTCGTTATACGGAGGACTTCGTTATATGGAGGTTCGTTATATCAATGTTCCACTGTATCTGGTCTTGGTCAATTAACTATTCACTTCATTGAATTTTGACAACCCCCAATGCAAATCCAATATTTTTCATTTTACCGTCACGTGCAGTCAGGCTTTGGATTTAGATTAGTCTCTATGTCCTCTTTTAAAAAAGCATTTCATGAAAGGCAATCGAATTTCCATGTGTTGGTCAATTTCCAAATTTTAATCACGCATGTTAGATAATTAGAGTAAGTAGTATGTCTCGAAGATTACTTACTTTTAGTATGTAATGACTCTGTCCTTTTACCATGAATTTGAACACGTTACTAAGTGTGTTGCGGAACTCTCGCGAAGACAGACGCGACGCATTGCATTCAAAGTACCATGAAAGGCCGGTATCTACTCCGCAGCTGCTCCAGTTGCTGTCTATAGGAACACCCATCTCATCGCCATAGTTAAGCACTCTTAGGCTTGAATTTTGGTATTCGTTAATAAAGAGGGTTTTCATGTTTTCTGAACAAGCTAAAAATTAATCAGTTGAATCTGGTCATTTTACAGTAATACTATGAATTAGTTGATCAAATCATTTTGTTTTTTTTTTTTTTTTGAAAACACATTTATAAGAAAAACAAAAACAACAAAAAAACGAAATAATCAAGTCAGATTTTAAAAAATAATAATAATAATAATAACGATAATAATAATAATAAAAGTCATATTTTGTGCTAACTCGTGAGACATCCAATTTCTTTTGTAGAATTTTTGTTTTCTAACGGAAAATTGGTCTGGTCTTCTTACTATAAAATATCATTCACAAACCTAAAAAAAATAAATTTTTCCTCGCAACGCAAAACAGATTTTTTTCAAAGGCGAGTCACTTGTTGTTTTGCTCGCCCTACCTTATAAATCACTAGGAAAAATGGCTGTACTCATTTTACCTTCGAGAACGATCGCAAACATTAGTTATCGAATAAAATCCTTAATAATATAACTTTACATACATAAAATATCTGAAATAGTCTGGAAGATGGACAACTTTGTAACCTGAAATATATTTAAAACTTATCTGCCTACAACGCGGAATGTTGAAAAAATAAGAAAAATAATATATTTTATTTGTTTATTTGCATTTTCTTTTTAAAATGACTATACTGAAGTTAATACTATTATGTTACCTTTTTCTCCCTGTTGGCTATATTGGTCGGACTGCAACTTTTTACGAACTTCGCTATCTTCTATACACATCCCTTTATTGTCGCTCGTAAACGCAAAAGTAGATTTCGTGTGGCGACAATCACAGTTGCAGCGCCCAAGTTGAGCATTATCCAAGGCATTGTAAGAGCCACAATCAACGTCTGTTGTTTCACCACATTTCGAATCAGGGATTGTAAAGTTGTCAGACTCTATTCCAACATTCCCATGCGATGTTGTTCTTGAAATCGTGTAGGAAAATGGCTCAGTGTAACTAATTTTGTTATACAGCAACAACAAATACAAGAGAAAGATCGTTTCGTCTTTCATGGCATAAATTTGGCGCTATGAATGGGGCCTAATTTTTCAAGAAACGGTTTCACTGAGTGAAGAAACAATTATCATCACTTGGTATTAAGCATTAAACGTTGGCGGTGACTGCTCTTGAATATTGGTCTTTCAAAAATGAAACTTCCCACACTCGTGCCTCTTCGGGGTTCCAATTTACTTTCTTATTTCGCTTTGTATACGTAAGAACTCGATAGATGTTATGCGTCAAAATGGCAAATCAGTCATTCTTAAAAGGCAATTCGGATTTCCAAACATCACCCGAACATATTAGTACTTCTAAAAATTTATTACCCTTCAATAATGTTAAGTTCATTTTGTTCCAGGCACTCTAAAAGAACTTCCCCTTTTATAAAAGGTAGGGAAAAATCGTTATACGTGGAAAACTGACATAGCTGAATGGAAATTGTTCAAACAAGGTTTCGTTTGTCGGTGCTGTTAAAGTAGATAATTAAAGAATGAACCGAATTTACTTTTAAATAAGAGTTAAAATTACGAAGTCAAAATACTTAAGCAATACTCGCCTTCAAGTGTTATTAATGATGGTGAAAAAAGCCCAAAAAACACTGTCGATATTAGGTACGACAAAAAGGATGCTTGCACAGGATTATGAGATTCATAAGCAGATATCCTGAGAGCCTCATGGCGTTGTTACGTACGTACAAAAAAAATAACATTCAAAATTGACTTTATGCCCAATTCAAATGCTACTCAGCCTATCATTTGTCTTTTAGTCATCTCGGCGACGATAGTATCAATAATGTATACCGAGGCGACCCAAGCGAATCGTACTACCTTTAAAAATTATCAATGAAATGATTCATTCACTATTGCATAATAATAGACCTCTTTAGCTTGTATGCTTTGTTTTGTTTTGTTTTGTTTTTTTTTTTCTCAATGTAGGTCATGCGATAATTCTCCAGAGAACTGTTACTTTCAAATTTCCTCTTATTCGCGTGCATTATGTACGCATCATTTATGAAAAGACAAAGGGCCATCCCTTATTAGTTCTTCGGTGGTTCTAAAACCTTTTTCTACATGATCAGTTTTGTTCCTGATTGATGTCACTTCAGATATTGTTCTCTGACTTATAATCTTCTATCAGACAAAAACAGCCTATTCTGTAATAGGCTATATATAATAAAGAAAGCCTCTTACCATGGGAAAAAAATAAAACAAAAAACACAACAACAACCAAAAAAACACTTTTAAAGTTTGTTAGCGTTACTCAAGCAGCCAGTTGCTGTTCAATTCAGGCTTTCGATCTGAATGATATGGCGATCGATCCTTATAGGGTGTCAACAACGAAACCCATGAAACAAACTGAAATCAAGTCTACAATATCACCTTTTTATTCAATTTACTTGCCAAATCTATTTTTTTATTTACGAGTGGACAAATTTATTTAACTTACACGGACGATTTGAGGGTAGGGTTTGAGGGAGACAATCTGCCCCTTAAAATGGATGTGTGACTTAAAGTTTTAGAGCAGCCAATGAGAAAATTACAAGCGCATCAAAGGCTGTAGGTTATAAAGAGCTATCTTACACTATCGTGTTGAGACTCGAATCTCAGTCAATTTCGAGGTATGAAGCAACCAACTGGCTGCCTCTTTTTCCTATTTTGCAAATGATAATGAATTAACTTTTTTTTCACCAAGTTATTCAATTAAGATGCTTCTGTATGGCATTTCTAGCCTGCAACTGTGGACAGCTTCTCCACAATATTAGCCAGTCTTTTCCGTGACATACATCTTTATTTTCTCTGAATTTATTTTATCTTTCTATTTGGCCTTCCATTGGCGGTTCTCATTTTTTCTCCTTATTGGGAACCGCATACACTGCAATTGTATCATCTTTTGAAACTTTGCACTCGACGACGTCGGCGCCAGGACCCTCCAGAACGTTATACACAGGGTCTTGCAAGCCAGTGGGAGCATTTTGTCCACCACAGCCAAAACCGAGATAAAGAGGATCCTCCAAAGTGTTGTAGACAGGGTCATTGTTACCGCTTGAGAGACCCTCGTTCGAGACGGGTTCCTCCACAGTGTTGTGGAATGGTTCATTCACAGAAATGACTCCACAACTCTCAGTTTCATTTCTGACTCCAGGTGTTGGCCCTTCCAAAACGTTGTACATTGGTTCTGTAGGGCAGCTATACTCAGCATTTCTTTGGTCCTCGACCTGTAGTTTTTCTAAGGTGTGGTACATTGCTGGGTCTAACGAAAGGCAACTGTAACGTTGTCCTTCTTCCTTGTCCTGGGCAGGATCTTGCAGCAAGTTGTAGAATGGCTCATCAACATTTCCGGTACCATAAATATTGTGTCCCTCAGGGACATCAAGAGCAGCATAGACTTCCCCGATTTGAGAATTGCCTGTAAGTTTGAATTTAATGTGAAATAATGGCAACAGTAAAAAGAAAACTGGTTAAGCCCATAAGTCATAGTACATGTAAGTTGAGTACAACTTTCTGGGTAAACTGTGGAATCTACCGATGATGAAAGGGAATATGCGATTTATTTCTGAAAGAAATGAATGGTTTTATGCTGAACGAGACTGATCATTATTGTATTTCTCTAGCTACCAGCAAAGGAGGGTTTCCTGTCATCCGGGTGATTTGTCACGAAAGTGTCATTTATGTCACGGTTCATGTAAGTCACAGAAGCGAGGCACAAGGCCTCCTTCCTCGCATTACAAGACAGTCAGATCTTTCTCCAACCATGGCAGATGTCATTTTAGACATGGAACTGACACGTTTTGTCAGCCGAATGGCTTTTGGCCTGTTGTTGGTTGATTGAAGCCCTAGCAATTTGACAATAAATTTTAAAATACTGGAATTCGAATACCATGGCATGGAATACCAATTGCGATATTAACTTCACACAGTTTTCCGCAATTTGCGTTGGCAGTACAAAGGACTATTGTTACCCTACCCTTTGTCTTTTAGAATCCGCCGCAACTTTGTATCAACAACGCGCAAGAGGTGATGCCTGTTCCATACATCTGTTTTATCAACCTGGACCTTTTACTCCCTAACAAATGCTAATAACTAATGGTTGTTTTTCTAGTACATTTTTTAAGCTTTTGTTACGTACCTGGCTCTTTCATCCTGTCTGGTAGGTAATCATTTTGAGTGTCCGGCTGAAATGCTACGTTTTGCTCTGAGTTTCCATTCTAGGGAAGAATAAATAAAAATAATGGTTGTTTACCATTCACATGGGCAAACCGGTCGGCTCTTGGTTTGTACAAATGGTAAGCAAAAATCAAGTCTGGTAAATTTCGTCCGGGAATTGCGTTTGCCATTTGCACTAATCAGTTACATTAACCGAAATACGGCCGCGAAAGTCTGAAACTGGTTTTGACGAAATGGAACACGGATTTCCGTTTGGAACATTCCTACCGGGAAAACAGGACCACCTTTTCAGACTACCCGTCTTCCGGAAATTGTCCTCCGAAACGACCCGAAAAGTCGTGTTCCAGTTACTTCCGACCAAACTTTCCGGAAACTTTTTGTAAATGGTAAGCAGCCAACATCTCCTTACTTGCCTTCTGATTTAACAACATATGCGGAAAGGATAAAGCAGAACATCCCTTAAGAAATGCAACTTATTAGTCAGAATTGCTATAGTTATTGGAAAATTTTCTGATCTACGGTCTCTTTCATAAACCCATTGACATAAATGGTAGACATTTTTCTAGATAATGACAAAAAACGGAGTCAATTTTCTCAGTCTACTACATAATGTACAAAAAGTACCTTTTTGAATTCCTCAGCAGTACTTGCATGAGCACCCTTTCTGTAAACACAGGAAAACAGAATAACTTATCCAGCGCACAATGTGAGCAATTCACATTTTGTCACTTCACAAGATTGTTTCTGTTACGCAGCTCACAAAAGTTGTCCACACGGTATATATCCACTATTGCTACTACTTTTAATAACTAGATTCCCACGACCCATTCTCGACTGACCTCGTAGCTCAATAGGGTTTCTCGCCGTGGTCAAATCTTTGGTACCTGGTTCATCTCTCACACTTTCCTTTCCTCGTCGGTTCTTTTTGTTAATTGTAAATTTGTATACCAACAAGCATCAGGTAGCGTCAAACACTTAACACAGTGTGTTCTTGAAGCTCAACCCCTTTACTATGCATATTGTTTAGTTTCGTGTTATTGAAATAAGGCTTTAACTGCGCCGGGTTCATTAAAAGATGTTAAATTCAGTTGTAATAACCCAAAGACAATCCGAGGGAAATAAAATGAAGTTATGGAATAAAATTTTAACCCTGTCATTGTTAGCGCTAATCGGTCTTTTAGAACCAAGCCGTAGTCACCATTACCTTGACAATAAACGCTAGTACTAAACGTTTACCTAGATTTCCGGCGTCGGTAAAGTACGACCATGGCAATTACCAGCACAGCAGTTGCTATAGAAGCAGACACTCCTGCTATGAGATCCAGTGAAGAGGATGAGCTAGTATCGCCATGCTTTTGCTTCTCTTTTGTGAATCCTGTGTTTGGCTTTGTTGGGGTCTAGATTAAGGGAACAACAAAATCAGTTTTCATTATGTTATGCTTTTTGACAGTTTAGTTGATCTACTAAACCTTATGCTGAGGTAGTTTGTCTCAAATAAGATATTTAACCCTAGTTGGACATACAAGCAAGGGTTTGGTGGTGGTGGTGGTTGGACTCCTACCCTCTCCCCCACCCTTCGGCTCTTTTAAAGTCAAACTTTGGATTGCTGTGAAAAAATAGCGTTAGGTCCTAAGCACTACATCAGGGTGTATATAATTATGTTATTGGGTATTACTGGATGTAGCATTGCTGGAGATCTTTGACGTCAGTTTAAGTGGCCTCTGTCTGGGCCGGTAAATTGTGTTCACTTTAACTTTTTGATTTATGCAAATCATGTCTAAACCTTACACAGCCACCATTTCACCGGGTATAGACGTTTTGGCCAGAAATATGGATGAACAACAGTTTGTCGACATTATATCTCATTTGCTCTGTCACCAACTTTGTCAATGTGAGTCAAAGAAATAAATAAAAGGTTTTTTTCTTTTTAAAGGAAAGGTTTAGTTATAAAGAAACAACCAAAACAAAATAACGCGGGTAAGAACGAACGACGTTTCGGTGTCATCTTGACGCCATTTTTAAAGGAACCTTTTAAAAAAAAAAAAAAAAACAAGGGGGAGGCAATAGCCCTTATACAGTGAGTACTAAATTTATATTGGTGTGGAACTGAAATATGCCTAAAAAATACCAGTTTTACTGTAGACTCCAGTGTTGCTGTAGACTCTAATGTTGTCGTAGACGTTAGCGGTGTTGTTTTTATGGACGATGAAAGAGATACTGTGGGAACTGTGGAAGACTGAAATCCATACAGGGGAGGTTTCCTTATCGGACCTGTCGTAAAACAAGATAACTGTATTTAACCCTTTGGTGACGGCCAGCGAATAGCGAAAAAAACGCATTTTTCACCAATTCCTCTTGTTTGGACTGGTTTTCGGCTAATCAGCATAAGAATGGCTGAACATGAGTTTTGCAACAAAAAAGGTATATTTTCCGACTACTGAGATGTAATTACACAGCTTTTTTTGTTTTTCGCGCATGCGCACAAGCCAATATGTGGACTTTAGACTGTGGACCTTTTTGGCGAATCTACGTCGATATTTATCTCTCGCTCTTTCTGTCTTTTTTTCCTTTGGCTATCTTCTTCATAGGCAGTTTTGTTGTCCACTTTATTGTCTTTCTTTTGCATGGAATTATGCCTGGTTAACTTTTTAGAAAAAAATCGACAAATTTAATCTTCAAAGAGTAGTAGGTAAAGCAGCGAAATTGGCAATGGATTATTCCCCAAAATGTCACATTTTTTGGTGTAACTCTATTCGTGTTGTTCGGAAAATCCAAAAAGAGATGTCGGTGGAAAGATCTATCTTTGCTGACGTTCTTTCTTACCAACTTATTACATCTACTTTATTGACTGATGAAGCAGAATCACTGAAGCTAAATGGGTCCAGGGAAAAAAAAATCATACATCGTTCCATATGGAACAATTGCAAGCCAAGAAGTGAAATTCAAACAATAGTAAGAACATATCTCATTAGCAAGATTCTGGCTTGATTAAATTACGAGATACGGCGATAGCTTATTATTTTCTAATGATTATAACGTAAATTAAATCTGCCAACATGGACGATAATATAGGTACATTTTGCCTCAAAACTGGAAAAATATCATACGATTTCACGTCAACTTACAGGACAACGTTCCCTCCAGTTTGAATAGCAAACAGCCTGCTCTGTAAGGGCCAGCAGTGCTGAAGCAGTTTATACCAAGGTTGATGATCCGGCCTCGTAATGACGAGTCGTTCAACACCTGGTTCAATTGAATACGTTTATTTATTAGTTACTCAGAAGGTTTGTCGCGGTACTTAAATTTTTAATCAACCCTGGGACATTCAGGGTTTGGATATCGACTCAGCCACAATGCAATCAGGTTCTCACATAGTATATTACTATACACCGCCGCCCACGTTCCTAGCTTGTGTAAGGTGTTCGGACAGTGGAGCACGGGTGAACAATAGAGCGTTGTAGAAAACGAGCAGAAACTGGGGAGAGCAGCGCCGCTCTCCCCAGTCTTCTCCGCTGTATTTTGTTCTACTTACCTCATTTTATTCCTGTGACGGCCCGTCACGTAGCGAAGGTATATAATTTTGTCGAAATTCGCATCGCGCGTGGAACGTGTGCCGGGCGTGAATTTCACAGCGAGGCAGAAGCACGAGTCGGCTTATATTTATATAACTTGACTTCCGGTTGGTAGTCACAGTGACGTTATTGATTGAGACGTCAAGGTGCACTTTATTGTTTTTTTAGGCCATTTTGGCGATCAAGAAACGCTTTTGGTGGTAAATTTCGACGGCAAAAGTAATTTACAGAGAACATTGAAGCAATCTGAACCAGTAGCTTCAAATAAATATTCGAGCGAAAATTGAGATTTAAGAACACTTGTCAGTGAGTCTTACTTCGCAGACGATTGAACGGTTTAGGTCGCGGGATATGTTCGTTTGTCGGAAGTGCGTTTCCGTTTGGCTTTTTACCGTCAAAACCTTGCTTTTCCCTGAAATCTGGCTGTACCTTCATGTTACGCGTGCTTCGATCAGCCGTTTAAGCTGAGAGAGAACCTTTTTTAATTATTTATTATTATTATTATTATTATTATTATTATTATTATTATTATTATTATTATTATTATTATTATTATTATTATTTTCCATCCGGCTACCGAAATAAAATGCTTTCCCTGACAAACTAACGGCAGGTAGCGCGGCGCAGTGGTCCAGGAGTTGATCTTACCTGCAGGTGGTGTAGGTTTTTTCCGTTTGGTTTTTTGGTTGCTTATAGTTTGTTTGTTTTTTTGTTTTTTTTTTGTTTTTGTTTTGTTTTGTTTTGTTTTTATTATAAATTTCCCCTTTGGCTTGGTTCCATTTATTATTACTGTTGTCCCTTTACAGCTCGCGAGGTTTTTGCGGAGTGGGTTTGGGGGTATAGATTTCCTTCTAAGTGAACAGGTTAGGGCAGTGCACACAAAACAACTGATATATCGTATAGTCTTAGGCCCGATTGGTAAGATAATAATATACAAATAAAGAATATTACTGTCTCTTTGCAATATTACTGTTAAGGATACACTGAGGTGTAATTATAGATATTCCTTACCTGTATGTGGTATCTACGTCCCCGCCACTCAAGGTGAAATGATTTAATATTTTCTTTCAGCGGTAGTTTCTCACCATGACAACCAATATACCATGAATTGTTCAAGCTGACCCTGCAGAACCCACGATTTAGATTTGTTGGTCTCGAGCTATCGGTGTTGAGCATTCGTAAACGGTCATCATCTTCTTCTTTTTGAAATAATGTACTGACCCGACAACCTTAACACAGGATAAAAGAATAAGGACCGCATGGTCACGTAGGTACTGTACATACGAAAGACATACATGTGCAGTGTAATTTGCAAATTGTAAAGTAACTGCATGCTACTAGATTCTGGAAATTAAGCTAGGCGGAATACGTAAGAAATTACCTCTACCGGAGCTGCCATGTGTAGGTCCATTTTATGAGTAAGGTTAAAAAAAAAAAAGAAAGAAAATCCCGCTCAAATGTAACCGATGACCTCCCCCTCCCCCCACCCCCCGTCTTTGACTCGAGCGATAAGTACTACTATGAATAGTAATTGCTCCTACATCTCAAGCTATAAAAGTAATCTTCGGTTATTGTTGACACTTACAGCACGCTCAGTTAGTGTTTTTGATTGTGGGTGTCCGTAATAGCGGGAATTTAACGTCTAACATAATTTGTTGCTGGAGTTGTGGCTGCTCTCCGTATCGAATAAAGTTTACCAGCTTTTGGCGAAAGAAGGAATCTGAAAATTTGCATGTTAGCTGGAGCGAAACTTTAACACGTATACTTTTTTGCGCTGAGGAAGTTGACACATTTCTATGTGAGTGTGCGAATTACTCACCAAGTTGGCTTCGGACTTGGCCATTTCCTTGGCATGTCCATTGTCTGTTATTGTACGTTAGAGTTGGTGTTGGATCGGAACAGGAGCAACGGAAATGACGGCTACCTGATTTTTCGACTGGTTCACAAAGATTCGTACAGTTTATGTACTGATTTTCCGTGTGGTCACACTCTGATTCAGAGAGAGTAAATGTGTCGATAACATCTTTCCATTTGTTGAGCTTATTTTCTGGCAAAAGCCTTGCAATCTCAATGGTTTCTGGCAATGTCATGTCCGCGTAGAATAACAAAAACGCCAACGCTGTAGCCAACAGCATCTCAAGAAATGGGGTTTGAACGCATTCAACGCAACTGAACTGATGAAATGGCGATGAATGGAACGGACTTAAACCTGGTTGATATACGGCGCACAGTCAGCGATGCAAACTTCACTGTAGTTTCATGATTTATGATTACTTTTCTAAAAGGAATTAGAAACTTACGCGTTTCATGTTATGGTTGGAAACCTATTATTGTTTGAAAAACATTAACAGCTATTAACTGACGAAACCAAAAATTCCCTTCGGGTGTATGAAACGAATGAACACGTCACCACGAATTCCTTGTGCCATATTAGGCAACTGCCTTTGAGTATCTATATAATTAGAAATATCAAAGGAAAACTAACGTTAGGAAAAACACAAAACACACATGGACGATCTTTATGTTTTTATGTTCGTATTTATTAGAAGACTTAAATTTCAGAAATTAAAATTTACCGTAACCATAAATCTCTAAAGTTCATGGAGATGCCTTTCTGATACATCAACCGTATCGTCATAAATTTACAACACGCGAAAATTTGTCTCCGTTACGTGATTTAAAAGTCTCAATTATGCTTAGAAGGACAATTATATTTAGCCCCTTGTCAAAGTTGTCATCTAGAAATATCCAGTTTGTTTGAATATCAGACGGGTCATATATATGATATGCCATTGTGATAGAGGAAAAAATGGACTACCTAGAATAATTTCGCCAATTGCGTCACGATTGTCATTCCTTATGCTCCTTAAAAGGTGAAATTCAAATTAGTTCCCGTCAAAATGATGATATGCATTTTCTAGTCTTGCTACAAAACCTGGTAAACCGTCTCAGTTTAACAATGGGACTCGCTGTTCGGGATCTTGAAACTATCAGAATAAATCCTTTCTAAATTGTTGAAATCATTACTTCTCGATGTAAAGCTTTGGCCAGGTCCCTCTGCTCTTTTAAGGTAACGTTCCTCTAAACCTTGACTAACTGGTTCATTTGCGTGCATAGTATCACTTTTGTCTCTTGTTAGGCTATCTGAACAACAACTTTCCAGTGTAAAGAAGACCGGCTTTTCTGCTGAGGTGCTATCGCTCAGGTCACATCCTTCTGCACGCTTAAGGAAACGTTCTTCCAAAGCATTTGAACCAGTTTCAGCAGCCCATTTTGGCCTCATTCTTGTTGCTTTGGAGTGATTAGATTTTAATCTCTTTAGTGTGAAGTAAAAGGGCCCTTCCTGGCTTGAAGCAGACTGAAAGGTCGGAAGCCCTTGTCGGCAAACCTCTTCTAAAAAGTTGTACACAGATTCATTTACTTTGTTTGAGTCACTCCGAGCTTTCTTCAAGTTGTCCATTTCAAGTTCTGAGGTGGTTTCTCCTTTGCCTGAGAAAGCTTTCTCTGGTACTCCTGTCCCTTGAAGATAACGTGCCTCTAAATCGTCGAACACTTGCTCAATTGTAAATCTAGCTTCATTGTTGTTGTTAATGGATCTTCTAGAGCCAGACCTCTTTGTGCAGAAGACTAATGCCTCAGTGCAGACGGCCTTGTATTGATCTGGTCCTTTAAAGGTTTTTCCAGCGGATGTCTTGTCATCTACCGAATCATTATTAGCCGCCTTAAAGCTATCCGAGAAACACTTCTCCAGAGTGAAGTAGATGGCATTTTCTGTATCAGGGGTGTCGTCTTGGTCTGATTCCTCTGCGCTTCTGCTCCAAAGCATTTCGTAGTGTATCTTGTGAATGTTCTGAAGGTTAGTTTATCGTGACTTTGTTATTCTGAGGAGCGATACTTTGACCGCTTGGTCTCATGGTCTTATCGGTGCTGAATACCCCCCTCCCGCCCCCCTGCCATTAGTAGCACCATTGTTGATTGTCAGTAATGGCTGATGGGTTTTTAATCCTGTGAGCATTGTTAGATGGAGAGTTTTGTCCTTCTTTGATCCGTGTGATACTGCTTGGTAGCTATAAGGCCATTGACACTTCTGGAACTCAATTTCTATGGTCTTTATTGAAGCTCTCTCTATTGATGGTGTTAGTGTGTTAAACGTGAAACAATGCATTTCTTTTGTTTTATTCCTCTAAGCCTCGCAACAAAGTATTAATTTTAATATATCGAAATTGGTCTAAAAAAGTCCAAGTTTTGGCTAAAGAGCATGCACCAAAAACAAAATGGACCTTACTCACCCCCAGTTAGCAGGAACCTATTTCCTTATTTTTCTATTTTACTTTTTACATATCTCATTTTTAGTCATTTGCATTTTTATTGGCGAAAAGACGGACTCAAAAGTAGAGGTTTTCCGCGTTTTTTTTTTTCTCTATTAGCTGAAGGGTTAAACAACACGAATATGCATGAATTGTTAAATAACTTACTGCTGATAACGTGCTTCAATGATTTTTATTTTCAAGATCTCCATCAATGGGAGACTATAAATTATGTAATTTACAGGTTACTTTACAGTTACAATCAAATTTTTGGTGACTGGTGGTATTGGGTATTATGGGTTATATTCCTAGGTTAACAAAGTTAGGTATATTCAGTGTTCACAATATAACTTAAAGAAGACCCTTTCATAGTGTATGCTTGAGCTTTGCAACGTGCTCATGATCCCTTCACTTAGATCAGCGAAAATTACGCATGCAGTCTCAAATCATGCTCATTTTGTTGTTTGTTAATGCCATCGTCGTATAAACGACCAACGAATTATACACTGGTACCAGGATCTTTGTTTGGACGGGTACACCATAAACGACCACTTGACTAATGCTCTGGTCCTTGTTCGCTGTGGGTACTTAAGTATATAGAGGATACGAAGAACTTTCAACGACTTTTAACATGTAATAATGGAACTTCACATATCGTAACTTAGAAAGTGCATGCATGAAATTATATATCATAAAGTAGCTGCATCCGGACCTCTTCTCGGAAGACATCCCCTGTGATTAAATTCTTGTATTCGACAACCCCCGTTAAGGGACCACTATGTTAAGTGTACTGGATAGCGTGTGCCTTCACAAAAAAAACATACCGGTTAGGGTTTCTTTTCACACATAGGAACGTGATTTCGGAGCGATTTCTCAGGGGCACCCAACGTCAATTTTCGGAAAATATCTGTTCGAAAGACGATTTGAGATCAAGAATTTTCGGAACATTTAGAATTTCTTCCTTGCCTGCCTCTCGTAGGATTTTCGATCTATAAAATGGTGTAATTACCCATTTTAAACCGTTTTTACACTAAAAAGGTCACCTAGATTTTTCGGGAGCCTTTTTTCTGGCTGAAATTTTCGAAAAGGTAAGGTTTGATCCCTATAGTTTCGGGGCGATTTCTTAACGGAGAGAAGTTGCACCGCTCCGATCAGCTGGTCACTAGTACAAAATTTCGTTTACTCACACTTTCAAAAAAATTATTCAACAAAGCCCAGACAGATGTTTAGTCATTCATCGAGTAACATATTTGGTAGTAACTTCTTTGATTGACTGCTATTATAAACTGGTGTCATCCCTGATTTAAGTTTTTTTCGCGCAAAATGGCCGTTCAAGGTCACGTAACCTAATTTGCATATTATTTTACACGGAATTGTATAACTTTTCAGATTCATTATTCTGCTCAAGGTTTGCTGCTATAGGCCTTAATCCTCAACATATAGACCACCCCTCAACTTTTCAAGAAAATTGAAAAAAGACTTAATTTCCTTGAGCTATAGAATTGGATGCCTTTGGAAGTACAAGGTCGTTTATTAGGTCAAGCATCGCGGTGTTGTTACGATCGACTAGTTCTTTGGCTTCTTTGTGGGAAAACTGGTTCACGGGTTCACCGAAATGCGAATACAGGGTCCTTTCAAACTTTCACTATGCTGGTTTTTTGCCACAATTGAAATCCTTTCTAATTTCCCCGGTGGACGTTGCTCTTCACAAAATAGAACTATGACGCGCTAAAATCACTTCATGCTCGCTTTAAAAGCTCCTTTGAAACTTTCTAAATTTGTTGGTAATAGTCTCGAGAAGCGGGCTCCCCAAAAGCAACTGATACTTCAGTTAAAGCATCCTTTAATAAAAGATTCCCTGACTCAACAGTTTCCACGAATATTAAAAATAACCAAAGGTTACGATAAATCTAATCTGTCGAATTGTTTGAAATTCGTCGACGAGTGCACAAAGAAAACGAACATGAACAAGAAATAACAACAGCAACAACAAGAAATGAAAAAGAAAGTTCTCCAACCTCAAAATATGTATATATGGTAATAAGGGCAAAAAACTTCAGAAGGTAAAAATTGAACTTTGATTAAATTGAGCAAGAGCATGAAAAGAGATAACCAATCATGACACGAACTATAAGGTTTATTTTTAATTCTTGTATATATAGTCAATCACTCGAACCTTAAACTTGGCGATGATAAGTATTCTCTTTATTATATCACATTTTTGGGACGCCAGTGACACCCCCCAGTCCTCAATCAGAAACATAGCGTATGTATAGGATAATGCTTAAGCTCTGAGGTCTTCTGAAGGACGCTTGGTTGGCCTTACATGGAAGCATTAACAAATGATGACCGAGCGCGCAGAACAAGGGAGGCAAGGGGGCGTGGGTATTATCCGATTTAATGCACTCTCCCATCGTTTTAGAACCAGCAGGTGATTATTCGTAGCAATCACCTCCTCAGCGTTTCGCCTCAGTGACCTGCTCTTCCATTAATTTATTGAAAAAACAAAAAAAAAACAATAGAAAGGTGCATTAATGAGATACAACATAAAAGTGTATGATAAAATTATTTTACTTGTTTTCGGACTACCAAGCGTTATGTATTCCCGCCGGACATATCGTGCTAATAACTAACCCTTTGTAAAATCAATACGTGGCTGAATTATGTTAGCCATTATCATAAACACAACAAGAACACGTAGTTGGACTTTGTAAGAGTGGAGGCCTAGTTAGACTTGAGTGGATTGAGCTAGTATCTTGGACCAACTCATTAAATTATCGCCTATAAAGTAATAAAACAGTATTAAAAAATGTTGATGGCTTTTACAGGTTAGTTAAAACATTCTGTGAACTCAAGCTCCTTCGACATACATCTAAAAAACTTCCTCACTTCTTTTTCCTCCGTTTTGCTTACAAAAACACAGTTTCATTGCAAATAAAAAATTAACATAAAAGCTTTAAAACACCTATTTTTAGAGCGAAATAATGTCTTATTAGGCACTCGAGGATTATTATCATCGCCATCATCTTTCGTCACCGTCATCGTCGTCCTCGTCCATTTTCTCACTATTTTTTCATTACAGGGGCTCAAGTTGGAAATTTATATTAATACAGCTTTCGTTTGGCTTCGTATTGGACTTAACCAATAGAAAGACGAAAATGACTAAACTGGAAAGTCAGTTTAAAACTCACTTTAATCAATTCCCACTTCCGATTAGCATTAGATATCCAGGACCCTCTTCTTCAATGTCGGGGAAACCATGCACGACTATACGCAAGCTGTACGCTTCTCTTACCCATTTCGACATACTCCTCAGGATCGGTTCTCTCCACTGAAAAATGGCTTGTGCTGCTACGGGGTAGGTTTTCATACGACAAACCACGGGCTCTACCATTTAGCCGCAAACGCTCGTCGTTTTCACCTTCATCAGATGACTTATTCTTTGCACTTATGTTCTCGTAATGTTTATCAGGGGAAATTGCAGATGATCTGAATTTCCCAGTTTCGACGAGAACCAGATTTCCAGGGCCTTCTTCTACTTTGGATAAGCCATTGCGACCATATTTATCTGCACTATCTGCAAACTCCACGTCTCGTCTCTTTCCCATTTCAACATACTCCTCAGGATCTGTTCGTCTGTTCGTGTGTTCGTAATTTTTATCTACATAAATGGCTGGTGACCTGACTTCAACAGATGGTAATGATTGTTGATAAGCAGAGGCATCATCACCGAGGGATCCGAGAGAGGCATCAGCGGGAACGCACCCCGTTCTTGTGCTCCGCGAGATTACAGGATTTGCGTAAGGGTAATCATAAGTTCTCTCGGAGCAAGAAGCTCCTTCCATAGGCGTCATGTATCCAGTGTCAGTTTCCTCAGAAAAGCACTGTGGATAGTATATAGAGAAAATGCATAAATAAGCAAAGAGATAAATGAATCAAACAAGATCAAAATTAAACAATCTGTTACTTGTACATGATTTGCGTAAGCGTAATCATAAGTTCTCTCAGAGCAAGAAGCTCCTTCCATCATCATGTATCCAGTGTCAGGTTCCTCAGAAAAGGACTGTGGACAGTAGAGAAAATAAATGAATGAGCAAAGAGATAAGTGAATCAAACAAGATCAAAATTAAACAATCTCTTACCTGTACATGATTTGGGTAAGCGTAATCAGAACTTCCCTCGGGGGAAAAAGCTTCCTCCATTATCATGTCTCCAACATCAGTTTCCTCGGGTGAAGACTGTGGACGTTAGACAAGTAATAAAAAATAAATAAATAAATAAATAAATAAATAAATAAATAAATAAAAGAATAAAAACAGTAAATATATAAATAAATGAATAAGAAGAACAAATAGAATCAGCTTATACCCAAGCGTTGACTGACTTAGCCAATCCCCCTTGTGTGGCTTTGACGTTGAAAACAGGCAATCGAAAAACTTGTGATTTCACTTTCTTCTCACTAACAGCAGACAACTATTGAACCGTGAGAACGAGGAATTATTCCCAGGGTCTTCCATAAACAAAAAGTATGCCATAAGTTCTTCAACTTCACAGAATAATGAGCAAAATTAAACCAGATCGGCAACACGAAAGATCCTTTATCATAAATGTCAAGATAATATTAAATAATTGCTAATTTACTTTAAAGGCGCACCTGCGAAATTTGTCGGCTGGAGATTGTGCCTACAGAAGAAATAAATGTGGAATTAAGAAGTGCTTCATTATGAACATATGTGATTGTATATTTTAAAGTTTTTTTTTTTGATGTTGCTTCTATTTAAAGTCGCTTACAAAAGTAAAGTGCCTACAATGGATTCAAAAGGTGTCTCTTCTCCCCTCTCCTCGATTTGCATTGTAAGGACAATCATATGTGATCATGCTGTTTTGAACTGATTATAACTCAATTGTAACTAAAAATTTAAAGTCACCCTGGCGACTACTTATTTTAAAATATTAATGATAGTCAAAGACAAACATCAGTGTTTTACCAAGTTCGACCGCGAACCTGGAGAATGTTTAGACTTCAAAGAAGTGCCAAACGTTAAGATTAAAAAAAAAAATGGCCGCCAGCTCGTAACGAACATTTTATTGTGGTTGACATTTTTCTTATTTCATGATGGTAGCTTTATTTTCGAGCTACTCTTTACTCGAATTACTTGCTGCAATGACCTTATAGAATATGAGTACGTTCGCCAATCAAGGAGGGATTGCCATAGTATATCTTTGTATTAACATGAATGTAAAAAAGATAGAAAGTTACCTTCAAAGAGATGATTGGGACGTTCTTGCTTTCTGTAATTAAGGTGAAAGATGACCAGAGAAGGTTTTTTTTTAAATTTCTTTTTTATTTATTTTTTCCTTTATGAGTAACTTTTTTTCTCTTGTTTAAGCTTCTGTCAAAAAGCAAATTAGGCTTTTTACACTGTAACGACCTTATGTTATGCTAAAGAGTGCACGAGTATTGCTTGACAAGGGAAAAACGTACCACTGAAAATGTTTTGGTAACCTACGCCTTCTACTGTATCGAAAGTAATAAATCATATACCGAGTACTGGACATCGATTATAATTTTGTACGTTTTATTTTAGCATATGTAGTCAGTACCTGTTGATGAGTACGACTTACATTATTCCGTCAATGCATTGACATCGTTCTTATTCTTGCTGTTATAATTGTTTTGTTTCACGTCGATTTCAAATGATTACACAGGACACATCAATCGTATCGTCATTATTTAATACAGTAAAGGTTTACCTGCTTACCGATAGCGATAGCGATAAACCCAGAAAGTGCCCATCATCACAAGAAGGAGTGCAATGAAGGCAATGATCGCCAATGTCGCCAATATAATGACATCTTTGGTCAGTACATTACTGCTTTCAGGGTCTGGGCTTGGTGTAGGGCGAATCTAAGGGTGAAATAATAATAATAATTATAAAAATCAATTATAATTATCATAAAATCTCCCAGAATCCTTCGAGTCAATTTTTTAAAAAAACTTTATAAGTTTGACAATTTTGTACGTACGAAACTGTCAGACCACAACAAGATAATAGATTTGATAAGATAAGAAGATAAGATTTGCCATAAAATATCTTCCCATGCCACATCTAGGCTTATGGCGTCATCAGTCACGTGACTTTTGCCGAATTAGGTTTTTTTGTTGCTATAACAAGATTTCATTTTCGAGTTTAAAACAAAGGGCATATTCGATGTTTTAGTTGTGTGGGGCATTTAAACGTAACCAGTTGACGTCCGGCTTTTCAAATTTAAGAGGGTAATGAACATGAGCGAAAAAGTCGGGAGACTAGGCCGAGGGCTATAGAGAGTCGACCTTTCGTCACACGGCAGTGGAAATTTGCAGGAAGGTAATGGTTAACTGATAATTTTTTCATAACCAAAAGAGGGACATGACATCATAAGTCACGTGATTAAAGCGTTTTGAATGTTTTAGTTCGTCTTTAAAGTACATTCTTGAAACAAAATATTCTTTAGTTTTACTCGTTACAAATTGAATAACAAAAGCAATGTTTGTAGACGACGATGTCTTCTATAAGTAGGGTTAATTTCAAGGCTCCATTTAAACTAGCTCTACTAATTTGTATGGATGATCCTGGATAAATATTGATTTAAATAAATAGATACGATTCTAGCAAAACCAGATGCATCTCTTCAGAGTGTAAACGCTGAATCGCTAGTCCTCCTTTACTCGAAGCCAATAAATTCGGGATAAAATGAAACATTTACGCTTGATTTTGAAGTCATGGTTGGCAGGATGACGGTACGAGACTGCGTGGAGAGTCTTGTTGTCGAGGTTGGTTGAATTGTACTCGATATTGAAGGCCAGACTGTTCTCGAGGGCATTGCTGTTTCATGCACCAGTGAAGAGGTTACTGCCACAGCGTCGGTGGAAGTTTTTGTCGAAGATAAATCTGATAGGCCACCTAAGAAACAAATCAGTGCTTACGAATGTTATAAAGGGGAATCATTTCTCCATTAAAACGTTAATTCGTATTTGAACTAACTATAACTCTGAAAAAAACCATGAATGTCTTTATCATCATCATGCAAAACTGCACGGAGCACATACTTTTGAACGCGTGTGTCCTATATTTTTGTATACTTTACTTTTCCCTTTCTCTTAAATATTTGATACCTTATATACTTCTCTTTTTTTCCTCTTTTATCCTAACTAAAACTGTAATTTAATCAAAGGGCATGCAATTAGTTTCATTATATCTTGCCCTTCACCATTTGTTCTTGTTATCTGATGTTTAAATCTTAAGAATAACAATTTCGAAGATGAAACAACAACAACATGATATTAAATATTTCAAATCTGTAATATAATACAAATGGCCTGTAATATAAAATAAGTGGAGAAAATACAAATACAAATACCAAAAAATAAAAACATAACAACACAAAGAAGATAATTTAAGAAGAGAGAAAAAAAAAAAGGAAGTCCAGAAATATTCGATAACATTCGATTGTGAGTGTTTTACTGAGTCTGAGTTGTATTTCCGCTACATAAAATTCCCAAATTGATGATTCGTCCTTTGAGCATATGGGCGTTTAACACAGTCCCTTCAACCTGTAGAGAAGAATAGGTCATTATCGAACAAACATTTTTTTAAAAAGCGAGATCTAGTGCAATATGGAAACAACATTAAATTCATAGGCAAATTTCCACGTGTATGTTTGTGCAGCGACCACGCTTTGGTGATTATGTACTTTCGAATGCTTTAAAATATACTACATTTCCCTCCCTTCGCCACAGTTGTTTCATCAACTATTGTTTTTGGGGTCAAAATTTCGTAACGGGATAACTCAAATTCTTAAAAAAAGAGCAAAAAGCCTTTAAAAGATCATTAAAAGGAACGCTACTTGATGTCCTTCAAACTGAAGACTCCAATATTGACGCTGACACGATTATTGTGAAAATGAAAAAGTAATTCTCTTGTCAGTCCTTTAATTTTATAATTTCCTCCTTTTCCCCTTGCTTTTAAAAGAAATAGGATTTGTATATTGTGAAGCTACGTGTAAACGGACGCAACAACTTCCAACATTGTGGCACCAACAACGTTGGAACCTGCAGGGCAGCATGGGAAGGACACACCCCATAATACGTTGGAGAACATGCGTGATCCGCGTGCGTGGCCCGAACAATGTTGGAAGGGCTGTGCAGACGGAGTCAACACAGGCAACAACGTGCAACAGGGTGTGCAAACGGGCACAAGATGTAGCATCCAGCAATGTTGCGTCTGTTTGCACGGTGCTTAAAATATGTATTTATTCAATGTCCAATTTTTGTATTTATTCCGCTTGCCTCGACTAGCCTTGCTAACTACAGGCGAGCCCTAAATATTTCTCGTAATTTCTTTATGAACTCAAATAAAAACGTTGTGAGTTTTAAGTCGGAAAATTTTCACATGCTTCTTCTTCCCTAGAGCCTTTAAAAACAATAACTTTGCAAAATTTTGGGGGCAACCTCGGTGTATTTTTAAAATACTGAATGATGCTGAAGGTATTAAATCGAAATGGGCTGTCATATTGCTTGTCTACTATTATGCCATCATAATGCCTACTCTGCGAACTTCCCTTCATCAATTTGAGGGGGCAGGGCAGTACTAATCCTTTTTGTGGAAATGGGGTTGAATTGGGAATAAAAAAAAGAAGGGTAGAATAAGGTGTACAGATAAACCAGTTGTTTTTCTTAATTTTGTGGTGGTGGACTACAGTGGAACCTCGATATAACGAAGGGCCAAGGGACTGGAAAAATGTGTTCGCTATAACGAGGTTTCGTTATATCGAGGTACTTTGCCATATATTTTACTATTACTGGGGTAAACAAAATCGTGCGGCATACCGAGGACTTCGTTATATGGAGGTTCGTTATGTCAAGGTTCCACTGTATCTGGTCTTGGTCAATTAACTATTCACTTCATATTTTGAATTTTGACAACCCTCAATGCAAATCCAATATTTTCCATTTTACCGTCACGTGCAGTCAGGCTTTGGATTAAGATTAGTCTCTGTGTCCTCTTTTAAAAAGCATTCCATAAAAGGCAATCGAATTTCCATGTGTTGCTTAATTTTTCACATTTTCATCACGCATGTTAGATAATTAGACTAGTATGTCTCGAAAATTACTTACTTTTAGTATGTAATGACTCTGTCCTTTTACCATGAATTTGAACACGTTACTAAGTGTGTTGCGGAACTCTCGCGAAGACAGACGCGACGCATTGCATTCAAAGTACCAGGAAAGGCTGGTATCTACTCCGCAGCTGCTCCAACTGCTGTCTATAGGAACACCCATCTCATCGCCATAGTTAAGCACTCTTAGGCTTGAATTTTGGTATTCGTTAATAAAGAGGGTTCTCATGTTTTTTGAACAAGCTAAAAATTAATCAGTTGAATCTGGTCATTTTACAGTAATACTATGAATTAGTTGATCAAATCATTTTGGTTTTTTTTTGAAAATACATTTATAAGAAAAACAACAAAAAAACGAAATAATCAAGTCAGATTTAAAATAATAATAATAAATAAAAAGTCATATTTATGCTAACTCGTGAGATATCCAACTTCTTTTGTAGAATTTTTGTTTTCTAACGAAAAATTGTCAGCTGGTCTTCTTACTATAAGATATCATTCACAAACCTAAAAAAAAATTTTTCCTCGCAACGCAAAACGGATTTTTTTCAAAGGCGGGTCACTTGTTTTTTTGCTCGCCCTACCTTACAAATCACTCTAGGGAAAATGGCTGTACTCATTTTACTTTCGAGAACGATCGCAAAAATTGGTTAGCGAATAAAATCCGTAATAATATAACTTTACATACATAAAATATCTGAAATAGTCTGGAAGATGGACAACTTTGTCAGCTGAAATGTATTTAAGACTTATCTGCCTATAACGCAGACTGTTGAAAAAATAAGAAAAATAATATATTTTACTATTTATTCATTTATTTGCATTTTCTTCTAAAATGACTATACTGAAGTTACTACTATTATGTTACCTTTTTCTCCCTGTTGGCTATATTGGTCGGACTGCAACTTTGTTCTTACTTCGCTATCGTCTATACAAATCCCTCGATTGTCGCTCGTAAACGCAAAACTAGATTTCTTGGGGCGACAATCACAGTTACAGCGCCCAAGTTGAACATTATCCAAGGCATTGTAAGAGCCACAATCCACGTCTGTTACACCACAGTTCGAATCAGCGATTGCAAATTTGTCAGACTCTATTCCAACATTCCCATGCGATGCTGTTCTTGAAATCGTGTAGGAAACTGGCTCAGTGTAACTAATTTTGTTATACAGCAACAACAAATACCAAAGGAATACCGTTTCGTCTTTCATGGCGTAAATTTAACGCTATGAATAGGGCCTAATTCTTTAAGAGACAGTTTCACTGAGTGAAGAAACCAGTATCATCACTTGGTATTTAGAATTAAACTGTGGCGGTGACTTCTCTTGAATATTGGTCATTCAAAAATGAAACTTCTCACACTCCTGCCTCTTCGGGATTCCAGTTTACTTTCTTATTTCGCTTTGTATACGTACGATAGATGTTATTGCGTCAAAATGGTAAATCACTCATTCTTAAAAGGTAATTCGGATTTCGAAAGATCACCCGAACATATTAGTACTTCTAAAAATTTATTGCCCTTCAATAATGTCAAGTTCATTTCGTTCCAGGCACTCTAAAGAAACTTCACCTTTTATAAAAGGTAGAAATAAAATCGTTATATCTGGAAAACTGACATAGCTGAACGGAAATTGTTCAAACACGGTTTCGTTTGTGGGTGCTTTCAAAGTAGACAATTAAGGAATGAACCGAATGTACTTTTAAATAAGAGTTAAAATTACGAACTCAAAATACTTAAGCAATACACGCCTTCAAGTGTTATTAATGATGGTGAAAAAAGCTAAAAAAAACACTGTCGGTATTAGGTGCGGCAAAAAAGATGCTTGCAGAGGATCATAAGATTCATATCCTGAGAACCACATGGTATGGTGACGTACAAAAAAAATAAATTCAAAATTGACTTTATGCCCAATTCAAATGCTACTCAACCTATCATTTGTCTTTTAGTCATCTCTGCGACGATAGTATCAATAATGTATACCGAGGCGACCCAAGCGAATCGTACTACCTCTAAAAAATAATCAATGAAATGATTCATTCACTATTGCATAATAATAGACCTCTTTAGCTTGTATGCTTTGTTTTGTTTTGTTTTGTTTTTTTTCCCAATGTAGGTCATGCGATATTTTTTTTTTTAAATTTCCTCTTATTCGCGTGCATTATGTACGCATCATTTATGAAAAGACAAAGGGCCATCCCTTATTCGTCCTTCGGTGGACCTAAAATCTTTTTCTACATGATCAGTTTTATTCCTGATTGATGTCACTTCAGATATTGTTTTCTGACTTATAATCTTCTATCAGGCAAAAACAGCCTATTCTGTAATAGGCTATATATAATAAAGAAAGCCTCTTACCATGGCAAAAAAAAAGCAACAACAACAACAACAACAAAAAAACACTTTTAAAGTTTATTAGCGTTATTCAAGCAGCCAGTTGCTGTTCAATTCAGTCTTTCGATTTGAATGATATGGCGATCGATCCTTATAGGGTGTGAACAACGAAACTCATGAAACAAACTGAAATCAATTCTGTAACATCACCTTTTTATTCAATTTACTTGCCAAATCTATTCTATTTACGAGTGGACAAAGTTATTTAACTTTCACGGAAGATTTGAGGGTAGGGTTTGAGGGAGACAATCTGCCCCTTCAAATGGATGTGTGACTTAAAGTTTTAGAGCAGCCCATGAGAAATTTATAAGCGCATCAAAGGCTGTAGGGTATAAAAAGCTATCTTACACTATCGTATTAAGACTCGAATCTCAGTCAATTTCGAGGTATGAAGCAACCAATTGGCTGCCCTTTCTTTCCTATTTTGCGAACGATAATGTATTAACTTTTTCCCTCCAAGTTTATTGAATTAAGATGCTTCTACATCACATTTCTAGCCTGTAACTGTGGACAGCTGCTCAACAATATTAGCCAGTGTTTATCTTTGTATCTGGCTCTCCTCTGGCGTTTCTCATTTTTTCTTCTTATTGGGAACCGCATACACTGTAATTGTATCATCTTTTGAAACTTAACACTCCACGACGTCGGCGCCAGGACCCTCCAGAACGTTATACACCAGGTCTTGCAAGCCAGTGGGACCATTTTGTCCACCACAGCCAAAACCAAGATAAAGAGGATCCTCCAAAGTGTTGTAGACAGGGTCATTGTTACTGCTTGAGAGACCCTCGTTGGAGACGGGTTTCTCCACAGTGTTGTAGAATGGTTCATTCACAGAAATGGCTCCACAACTCTCAGTTTCATTTCTGACTCCAGGGGTTGGCCCTTCCAAGACATTGTACATTGGTTCTGTAGGGCAGCTATACTCAGCATTTCTTTGGTCCTCGACCTGTAGTTTTTCCAAGGTCTGGTACATTGCTGGGTCTAACGAAAGGCAGCTGTAACGTTGTCCTTCTTCCTTGTCCTGGGCAGGATCTTGCAGAAAGTTGTAGAATGGCTCATCAACATTTCCTGCACCATAAATATTGTGTCCCTCAGGGACATCAAGAGCAGCATAGACTTCCCCGATTTGAGAATTGCCTGTAAATTTAAATTTATTGTGAAATAATGGCAACAGTCAAAAACAGATTGGTTTAGCCCAGAAGTCAAAGTACATGTAAGTTGAGTACAACTTTCTGGGTAAACTATGGAATGTACCGATGATGAAAGGGAATATGAGATTTATTTCTGAAAGGCCTCCTTCCTCGCATTACAAGACAGTCAGATTTTTCTCCAACCATGGCAGATGTCATTTTAGACGTAGAACTGGCACGTTTTGTCAGCCGAATGGCTTTTGGCCTGTGGTTGGTTGATTGAAGCCCTAGCAATTTGACAATAGATTTTAAAATACTGGAATTCGAATACCATGGCATGGAATATTAATTGCGATATTTACTTCACACAGTTTTCCGCGATTTGAGTTGGCAGTACAAAGGACTATTGTTACCCTACCTTTTGTCTTTAAAAATCCGTCGCAGCTTTCTATCAAAAACACGCAAAAGGTTACGCCTGTTCCATACATCTGTTTTATCAACCTGCATCTTTTACTCGCTAACAAATGCTAATAACTAAAGGTTATTTTTGTAGTACATTTTTTAAGCTTTTGTTACGTACGTGGCTCTTTCATCCTGTTTGGCAGGTAATCATTTTGAGCGTCCGGCTGAAATGCTACGTTTTGCTCTGAGTTTCCATTCTAGGGAAGAACAAATAAAAATAACGGTTGTTTACCATTTACTTGGGCAAACCGGTCGGCTCTTGGTTTGGACTGATGGTAAGCAAAAATCAAGACTGGTAAATTTCGTCTCGGAATTGCTTTTGCCATTTGCACTTATCAGTTACATTTACCGAAATACGGCCGCGAAAGTCTGAAAATGGTATCAAAGATGATTTTGAAGAAATGGAACACGAATTTGCGTTTGGAACATTTCCACCGGGAAAACAGGACCACCTTTTCAGACTACCCGTCTACCAGAATTGTCCTGAAAAGTCGTGTTCCAGTTTTTTTCCGACCAAATTTTCCGGAAACTTTTTGTAAGTGGTAAGCAGCCAACATCTCCTTACTTGCCTTCTGATTTAACAACGTATGCGGAAAGGATAGAGCAGAACATCCCTTAAGAAATACAACTTATTAGTCAGAATTGCTATACTTATAGGAAAATTTTCTGATCTACCGTCTCTTTCATAAACCTTTTGACAAAAGTAGACATTTTTCTAGATAATGACAAAAAACGGAGTCAATTTTCCAGTCTATACTACATAATGTAAAAAAAGGTACCTTTTTGAATTCCTCAGAAGTACTTTCATGAGCACCATCTCTGTATAAACACAGGTAAACAGAATCACTTATCCAGCGCACAATGTGAGCAATTCACATTTTGTCACTTCACAAGATTGTTTATGTTACGCAGCACACAAAAGTTGTCCACACAGTATATTTCCACTATTGCTACTACTTTAATAACTAGATTCCCACGACCCATTCTCGACTGGCCTCGTAGCTCATTAGGGTTTCTCGCCGTGGTCAAATCTTTGGTACCTGGTTCATCTCTCTCACTTTCCTTTCCTCGTCGGTTCTTTTTGTTAATTGTAAATTTGTATACCAACAAGCATCAGCTAGCGTCAAATACTTAACACAGTGTGTTCTTGTACCATGCATTTTGTTTATTTTCATCGTGTTATTTAAATAAGGCTTTAGCTGGGCCTGGTTCATTAAACGATGTTAAATTCAGTTGTAATAACCCAAAGACAATCCAAGGGAAATAAAATGAAGTTATGGATTAAGATTTTAACCCTGTCATTAATATTGTTAGCGCTAATCGGTCGTTTAGAACCAAGCCCTAGTCATCATTACCTTGACAATAACCGCTAGTACTAAACGTTTACCTAGATTTCCGGCGTCGGTACAGTACGACAACTGCAATTACAATCACAATAGTTGCTATAGAAGCAGACACTCCTGCTATGAGACCCAGTGAAGAGGACGAGTTGGCATCACCATGCTTTTGCTTGTCTTTTATTAATCCTGGGTTTGGCTTTGCTGGGGTCGTCTAGAATAAAGGGTCAACAAATCAAGACAGGAAAAACAACTTGAATTGTGTTATGCTTTCTGACAATTTAGTATGATGCATAAAACTTTATGCAAATGCCGTCGTAAAGTAACTAACTCACCCTTGAACATACAATCAGAGAGTTGTGGTGGAAGATTGAACTCCACTCTACCCACCCCCACCCCCCCCCCCCTCCCCTTAAATAAATAGCGCGTCATAAGCTCTACATAACGGTGTACATATGTTATGGGATATAGCATGGCTGGGGATCTTTGAATAATAGAAGCAGGTGGGTGGCATCGGTATCCCCCATAGCCCTTATACAGTAATTCTTAAGTCAAATTCTGTTTGGAACTATATACCTTTCATTATTTAGGGTAATATTTGAGAGTAAAAAGTTTGGTCTATCATTGAATGAGCAGATAATGAAACCAACAGTTAAAAGGCAAGTACTTTTCTAGACCCCGGTTTTGCTGTAGACTTTAATGTTCGTGTAGAACCCAGTGTTGCTCTAGACATCAGAGATGCTGGTTTTCTGGCAGATGAAAGAGATGCTGTAGGAACTGTGGTAGACTGTAAAGAACCTGTCGTAAAACAGGATAACTGTAATAAATACTTTCTTATATAAAGAATCGAAGACTCAAATAAAAGCGAAGAAAAGAATTGCCAGCCTCCAAAAAGCTAGATTCTGGCTTGATTGAATTACGAGATAGTTGCAATAGCTTATTATTTTCAAATAATTATATCGGACTCGAAATCAACTGTAGCATCGGCGATATTATGGGGTTAAGCTTAAAACGGAAAAAAAAAATGCGATTTCACGTCAACTTACATGATAAAGTTCCCTCCAGTTTGAATAACAAACAACCTTTAGTGTAACGATGACCAGCAGGGCAGTTTATACCAAGGTTGATGATCCTGCCACGCAATGATGAGTCATTCAACACCTGTTTCAATTAAATACGTTTCTTTATTACATGCGCAAAAGGCTTTTCACGTTATTTAAGTAAATTTATAATCAACCTTGCGATATACAGGAGTTGGATGTCGACACAATGTAATGCAATTCCAATATACAGTCAAACCTTCCGTAAGCGAACACCTTCCGGTCCAAGAGTTACGGGTCCGCTTACGGGAGGTGTCTTAATTTGCTTACGGGAAGAAACAAAAACAAAAACAAAACTAGAAACGAAACATGAAAAAACTGGTACACAAAAGGGAACAAATGCACCAGAACATGTCTTTTAGAACGCTTAAGACCACCTATGATTTATGATCCATCCCAGGGTTGTTGGATGTTGCTTTTTTGTTACACATGAATTAAGCTCTAATTCAAACACTACAGTTCAAAATTAAAAGCCGCTGAACATGTAAACAGAAACATTCCCACTCCCCAATGTTTTGGAGTTGAACAGGATAGAAGAAGTACATATTTTATGCACATTTGCAAGTGTCCTTACTAGTAGGTAATAACAAACAGAAGGAACTATCGATCGGTGTCTGATTTTGCGATTCCCGAATGAAAAAGCAGTGGTATGGAAGTTGCTCTTCATGTACGTGACGAAGTTCCTAAAGCGTGTGTCTTACTCAGCAACAATTATTAACAATAAAGCTGATCACAATAAAGACAGGATATTGTTTGGAATTGCCTTGCGAGTTCAAATTCCAAAAATACATTTTCACAGGCTAGTTCGGTTTCCGAACAAACAGTTCACACATTCTGCAAATTGATGGGTATACAATGGCATATTTTATAATACAAGTACACAGGTCATTTTAGAGATTCCTTACCTTAACAAAATATGCATAATTATCCTTGTTCTTACGTTTCCGCCATTCAAGGTGAAATAATCTTATATTTTCTCTCAATGGAACCTTCTCCCCATAACAACCAATATACCATGAATTATTCAAGTTGACACTGCAGTTCTGACGTTTTAGTTTTGTTAATCTTTGGCCAGTAGTGTTGAGCATTCGTAAACGGTGCTTGTTTTTTTCACCGCTAAATAAGGTGCTTACCTCACAACCTAGACATTGGATAGATGAAATAACGATGATCACGTTATTACTGTCTATACGAAAGGCATAACTTGCAAATTGCAAGGAAACTGTTCGTGCATTCCCGGAATTAAGGCAAGCAGGAAAAAACGGAGGAAATGACTACCAGCGCTTTCTTCAAAAGTCCACAAATACTCTACGGGAGCCCCTATAAAAATAGGAAAGATAGAAAATACCGCACGACCTCTTACCCCGCCTCCCCTCCCCCCTCCCCCCCGTAAGTAAGTCGTACCATGAATCACGGTTGCCTTATCCCAAGTTTTTAACCACTCAAGAATTCCTAGTCGCTGAAATAAACCGCCAGGAGAATTAGTAAATATTATTAACCTGATATAAGCAATAAATTGCTAGTAGCAGCGTAGAAACACCTATAAATTAGTCTGCCATTGCAGTCGACACCTTTTAATGCGGAGTTAGTGTTATTGATAGCGAGGGTCTATCTATCTATAGGGAGGCTTTTTAGTGAGACTTCTGACTTCTATTTCTACTGCGTTTTAGCTGTTTTCCGTATTAAAGGAAGCCGCGAATTTAGTTGACTCGTTTTTGGCGAAAGAAGGAATCTGGAAATTTGCATGTTCGCTGGAGCGAAACTGTAAGAAGTGTTTCTGTTTCACCCTGAGGAAGAAATCACATTTCCAGAGTTCACCATGTGAGTGCATAACTCACCAAATTGACTTCGTACTTGGCCTTTCTCTTGGCATATCCACTGACTGTTGTCATATGTTAGAGTTGGGCTTCGATCTGAACAGGAGCAACGGAAATGACGACTGCCTGAAAGGTCGACTGCTTTACAAAGCATCGCACTGCAGTTTACGTACTGACTTTTCATCTGGGTACACACTGATTCAGGGATAGTAAATGTGTCGGTACTTTCTCTCCAATTGCTGAGGTTATTTTCTGGCATGATCCTCACAATCTCAATGGTTTTTGGCAATGTGATATCCGTGTAGAATAACAAAAGTGCTAACGCTCTAGCCAGCAGCATCTCAAGAAATGGGTTTCAACACATTCAACACAACTGAACTGATGAAATGGCGATGGAACGGACTTAAGCCTGGTTGATACACGGCGCTCAGTACAGCGATGCAAACTTCACTGCGGTTTCATGATTTCTGATGACTTTTCTAAAACGAATTAGAAACTTACGCATTTCATGTTATGGTTGGAAACCTATTATTGTTTGAAAAACATTAACGGCTATTAACTGACGAAACCGAAAATTCCCTTCCGGGTGTATGAAAATAAGCACACCACAACGACATTCTTGAAACACGGCGCACAGTTACAGCAATGTAAACTTCATTATAGGCTTCCATGATTCTTGAATATTTTTATTTAAAGGAATCTGCTGCAAACGCATCATTCTTTAAAAAAATAAATAAATAAAATAAAATAAAACAGTTCTTAACTGACGAAACCAAAAATTCACCCCGGGGTGTATGGACCGAATTAACACGCCACAACGAATTCCTTTGCCATATTAGGCAACTGCCTTTGAGTTGCTATATATTTAGAAATATCGAAGGAAAACTAACATTGGGAAAAACACACAGCACACATGGACGATCTTTATGTTTTTATGCTCGTATTTATTAGAAGACTTAAATTACAAAAATAAAAAAAATGCCGTAACCTCAAATCTCTAAAGTCCAAGGACATACGTTTCTGAACCATCAACCGTATCACCATAAATTTACAAGACGCAAAAATTTGTCTCTGTTACTTGATTTAAAAGTATCAATTATGCGTAGAAGGACAATTATATTTAGCCCCTTGTCAAAGTTGTTGTCATCTAGAAATATCTAGTTCGTTTGACTATCAGATGGGTCATATATATGATATGCCATTGTGATAGAGGAAAAAATGGACTACCTAGAATAATTTCGCCAATGAATGATTTTCCAGTAATCGGAGACTTAGTTATGCGCACAGGATTATGGGATCGCCAGGGGGCAAACATTGGAAATCGCTACAAAGAAATGTATGGCGTGGAGCTGTTTCTCCGTTTAAAACCAGTGTCTTTGGACAGAGAATGCCGCATTTTGCCGTGATTTTATGAGAAGCGGAGGTGACTAATGTTGGTGCGTTGATTGTAAGTTTTTTTGGGATCAATGCGATGAAATCTATCGATAAACACTCGTTCTTGCAAAAGGTCGACTGTGAAATTTACTGAATGGTCTCGAAATATATAGTACTAACTTACCAGGTATAAATGAGGGGGGAATGTGGACTCATTTATTAAGCCTTTCCAGTTGTAAGTACATGTGCTGATATTTACAACGAGTGTAATTACGCTTGGCTCGGCGGCGATCACGACGCTGAGCCAGTTTTGTGACAACGATCGAAGGTAAGCTTATGTATTGTCGAATTTGATATGTATTAACCTTAAAAGCAAAACATCTTCCCCACATTAATATATTGATTCCTTCTAGC